AGAGAGCTAACCAACATCCGACTCATCTCTGCACTTCATTAAACTAATTGCATAGGATGCATAGAGAGACGGATAGAGATAATTGCCTTGGTAATGAAATGTAACGTGACAATAGATGGGGTAGCTTTCTAAGTTCTGAACAGTGATTCCATCAGAGGGGTCCTGGCATGATCTCATCATCATGTTATCTGAACATAAATATTGTTGTTTCACTTCAAAATGTCACCGGTGAGGTTGACCTTTGAGTCTTCCCCAGCCATCTGCTAATAAACATGTCTTGAGATGTGCAGGCCTAGACCCTAAAGCCTCTTGTCAATGTATTAATCTTTCAGACAAGCCAAGCTTCGTGGAGAGAAGGCAGACACTACGCAGGCTAACTCAGGCACCACTGCTCAGGACTGCAAGGATCCAAAGGCCATCGTCTAGAAGCTTTGCGGCGGCCACTGCATCCTTATAAACCTGTCAACACGCAATAGGGTGTACGTGTACAAGGAAACGAATCACTAATACCATTAAACAAGTCTTATGTGAAGACAACGCTATCCTAAAGCAAGAGATAATATTGAGTACTGTTTATACAAAGACGGGACTTATATTAGCGTAAAGCACTTCCCCTGCAATCTGAGACCACATCTTTAATTTAATGGCTTTGAGAAGGCAGAAACCTGATCTTATTAGTGCTTCAACTTAGAGTTTATTAGCAAAAGTGTTAAGAGAGCAGAAACTAAACTCCAACCAGCTAAGCTCTTCAAAACAAAAAATAAGAAAAAAAATTGAAAAACAAAACATTTACGAAAAATCACATTGGTTAGCGTTTTAGTGTTCCGTTTTACTGGTATTACCATGATTTTTTTTTTGTTTGTTTTAGTAAATGCTTTGATATTTTAAAACTTAACCAATGACAGTGCTTAGTGCTTGTGAAAGTTGTAGTTGTTGTCTTCATATATAGTCACTGCTTATGTTTTCTGGAGCTAAAATGCAGTCTTCACTCTGAAATTCATTACAGCATTTAAGCAGAAGATCCAGACTAACCAATTGTATCATGCCCGACATTTGCTTAAAGACATGAGCTGATGTTTGTAGCATTGAGTCACAGTGTGCCCAAGATTTTGCAGTTTAGATCCAACCCACCCTCTATAACTAGTAAGCAGAAAGATCTTGTTCTTTTTGGTTTTTAATTATTTTAGAATTTAATTTCCCTTTCTCCTGCCCTCCACGCTGTTGTGTGATGAACATTTACACCCATTGTGTTGTAATGACTCACAGTTACATCAACTGAGTGTTTTTAATACCTGCATTCTGCACTCTTGACATCGGCTAGCCCAGAGGCGAAAATCATGTAACACTGACCACAAAGCGGTATTATGAGCGTTAACATTTCTATGGCTGGATAGACACTGTCAGTCAGGCAAAAGAGTTTTATTCTGGTTTGATTTTCTTTTTCAACCTGTGTACCATCACGTATTGAGACAGTGTGATATGGCCAAATGCAGTAAAACCACATCAGTTCATGTGTAAACCGCCTCTGACTGCTTATTTTTGTAACACATTTATGTCACAGGTATGTTACTTGGTTTGGGCTTATGTTTCATAACTGTTTTTTGTTTCTTGAGTGTTCTGTTCTATTTTTTAGATGGAAACGGCACACAAGTGTAAAGTTGAGTTGCAACTAGCCCATGAATGTTGAAATAAAAAAAACAAGGTGGGGGTACAAAGACCTGTTTTATTCAATGTATAGAACACGCTCAGTTTGCACACAATACACCAAAAGACCAGTTTGTATTATAAAATATCCCATGCTACGGAAAATGGCCTGTACTACATACAAGGCTTGCACATTATCAAAATCCTTCTAAGTATTGGAAGAAGATCCTAATTGCGATGATACGAATATGGGACTGCCATTTCTCAGCTGCCATGTGCCTGGATGTCATGCCGAAGCTTGATCTTTATTTCTTTCAGTGAACTGAAACACTTAAACAGATCAGGAACATCCGAGTAAAGTCAGACCTCCTTATCTACATCCTTTTTCCAGGTCAATGAGTTGGCATTGCATCCAGCAGTTAGCATTTTCAGAAACATAGATCATCCATGGCAGCCATCATATTTCTGTCATGGATGGAGCCAATCGCATACTATTCAGTCCTTTCAAACCCAATGTTTTTTAAGCCAGTGTTCACCCAGTTTAAAGGTTTTTTACAAACAAACCTCAAAACTACCATTCCAAAAACAGTCTCATCCTAACCTATGAATACTGTACATGTAAATGGTTTGCATTACAGCATCAACATATAGTGAAAGTAGAGAACAAATCCATATTAACACAGGATATTGTTGTGTTAGGAGTAATTAGTCATATCCGAAGGAGGGGGATTCAAGAAAGATGATTCACATCATCTGAAGAAAGCCAGACCAACACAAGCTCATCATCTCTAGGATAATGTGACCCCCCTCTGCTAAGAACTGTGTGTGCTGCAACTCTTACATAAAACAACCAAGCCATTTAGGAAAATTGGTATCCTAAAGAAAAAGCCTAAACAAAAATGGGAAACTGTTCTCATTAAAAAGTGAATGTATTTTTAACCAAGCAAATCTATCTGAGTCGTGCAATTATCTTCCCGAAATCTCCTGCACAGCCGGGATGTAATTGTGTGGGAGGTCTTTTCACTGTGGGACAGTCAGGTTCTATTTCAAAGTAGAACTTACTTAAAGTGTATTCCATGTTTGCAGACAAATTTGAGGAAACCCTTCTATATGTATGTTGTGTGTTACCATCCACACAGCATACCTAAAAATGTAAATGTATATATAAAATCATTTAGATCTGTAGCTGGACTTTGGAGCTTCTCTCTTAATTTCAAAGTAAAGCTTCCCTTTAGTAACATACAGGTGAAACTCGAATAATTAGAATATCGTGCAAAAGTAATGGCAGTAATTGCTGCAAAAGGGGCCCAAACCAAGTACTGAGTACATATGCATGCTTGTACTTTTCAGAGGTCCGATATTGTTCTATGTACAATCCTTGTTTTATTGATTGCATGTAATAATCTACTTTTTTGAGGTTGTGGATTTGGGGTTCTTGGGGTTTTCATGAGCTGTAAGCCATAATCATCACAATTATGACAAATCACGGCTTGAATTATCTTGCTTTGCATGTAATGAGTCTATCTCATATATTAGTTTCACCTTTTAAGTTGCATTAGTGAAATAAATGAACTTTGCACGATATTCTAATTATTCGAGTTTCACCTGTACAATGCTTCTAGATCTTTAACCCTTTGTTAGGGTTACAGCTGATAATGAGATCTCACCACAATACAGACACAGTTAATTTGGTTCAGTTTAGAAAAAAAAACCTGATCTTTCAGAAAAGAGCAAGTAATACTTAAGCAGCAATTTTTTAAGATTTTTAGTAAGTTATGCGAATGAGTACATGTAACAAATATAAAGTCGGTGTCTGGCCTAATTTGGCTGCAAAAGTGGAAATACACTTTAAAACAGACTGTATCTGCAGGTCCCAACTTTATCACAAATCCAAAAACCAAGGGGTTTATTCTTCATTTTAGTATAGTGGATGGAGCCATGCGAAGCATTCCTTTTATTCCTCTGGGCATTTCCAGCACAGATAAAGCCTAATATTGTATTGTCATTTAGTCCAAACTGCCTACTGGTTCAGGTTTGTTGGCAACTGGGTGTCGTTTGGAATAAATGGCTCTATAGAATTACGCTGTACCTATGCTGTAAACTGTGGGTTCTGGATGCACATTTTGACCTTAGGACATAAAGGGGTAATTTGCATGTCTCTGATATGATGACTAAATCCTTTATTTTTGTGATGGAAGTAAGACATGCAGATGCATTCTGTTTTAATAATTGTATACTGTGCTTCATACTGGCTCATGGGTTCAGGCAGCTTATGTGAGGTATAGGTGGAGCCTCAGCAGTGTCATAATGCTCTTTGTTAGGTTATATAGCTGGCAGGTGATACAAGAAGCTGCTAAAGTGGACAGTGGTGTCACCTTCTTGGCTATGCTTTGTATATTGCAACTGTGGATAATAACCATTACAAATATTTTGGCATATAAACTAGCACATTTATATGTATTTCAACTGTATATATTTAGACATTTGGCTTGGTTCCCAATTTTAATTAAACATATTAATTAAGAGCTTTTCTTTCCTTAGCAAGTTATTTGATGGTGTTTCTTAACCTGTGCTGAAAACATTATTAGGCTGACCATCTTCTGAAAATGCTAGTTTCATGGCTGCCATACTGATTTTGTTCGGGTTCCATTACTCCTTCAGGAACCATGTGGCAACATGAGCCAGGCATCTAGCATTTTAGGTAAAGCTGAGCAATGGCAATTATTTTTCTTTTAAAACTAAAACTGCTTTTGTGGGGACACATTGAGGTTATGTGCATGTCCCATAGCATAGATCATTTTCCTTATCTGAGTTATTTACAAAAGGGTGAAGAGTTTGGGGAAGGCAGGAGAAGTGAATAATCTAGACCAAAATAGCTGATTTGGAAACATTCTCCAATTCAACTCTCTTTTCAGTTCAGCTATGTTGTCCTAGATTGTTCATGTCTTCTGCCTTCTTGAAACCATTCACCCTCTTGTGAATAGCTGTACGGGCTATTGTGAATAGCCGTACAGCACCCCCTCGGTTCTCCTGAACCGAAGGGGTCCTGGTGCCGAAGCTAGCCGAAGGATCGGCCGAAGCTACGGCCAGATCCTTCGGCAGCTTTGTGAATAGACCCCTTTGAATGTACTGTTTTCAAGACGTTTCTGTTCCGAAGACTCAAAGATTAAAAAATCTATTATTTTCCCATCACCTCCCATTACACTGCACAGATTTTTGAAGCACCTTTTTCCCTAGTTCTTTATTAGAGTTGGATTGCCTGCAACTGGTACATCTATATTTCTTGTCTTATTAATGGTAAATCAAACTGAAATGTCCAGTGACGTGGTGAGTATAATAATGGAGCGGATCTATGCAATGCAGCAAGAGTGAAGGTGTTGCCCATAGAATCCAGATTGCAGCAGGTATTTCCCCAGTACAGGTAAGAAAATGGAGGAAGATGCCTTGCATGGCCAGAAGTCTGTAGATGTCTCACCATTACACCTATATGAGTGTTTTTTACATCCCTTTCTCAAACTATGAGCAGTACTACAGCATTGACCTTCCCTCAAACTATGTCTGATTAGTTCAACTTGAAGGTAAGAGGTATTGGTGTATCTGCTGGCTTGGATTTTACTTTCTGAAGAAGAGTTTGTATCTATATCAAGCGTTGTCTCTGTTCCATTAAACTAAATGAGAAATGTGCGAGAGATGGTGCACAAAGTACAACAGTGTAAAAAAAACTAATTTTTGTATGAAAAGCATAGTTTTTGCCTGCATAGAGGCAGCTATAAAGCAGAACATGCTGCACTTTTTCCAATGTCCACTTACCTCCATCTCCCTATTTTGAAGCCCAGTCCTTCCTCATTAGTTTTCCTTTTTTTGATCATCTGCATAGACACCATCACTGATTTGAATTATTTATTATAAGTGTTATACTGCTCTAAACTTTTAATCCAACCTCTAAATCATTTCTTTTGGTATTTTGAAACTCCAATATAAAGGAAAAGTGGTGCTTAAAAACACTTGAGTTTAACCAGTCAGTTTTTGTGTATTAATTCTTCTTGTCTGTAACTGGAGGCATTACAGGGCTATCTCCTTTACTTACCTGCCTTGTTTAAAGGTATCCCTCCATCTCAAAAAGTTGGACAACTATAGTTCTGTATGCTGTCCTTCAGCACAGTCTCTCGGCAGCTTATCACAAACAGCAGAATACATCCGAATGTATCTAACCCTAATATTGGTGCTGAGCACAGACACATACTCTCATCAGGTACAAGTGTGTACATCTGGATAATACACTGACTGAAGATATTTTGAACTAAAACGAATCCAGAGATGTCCAGGGGATAGCATGTATGTATTACATTACATTCTTCATAGGGCTGTGACTGTGTTAGGCACTGGGCGCAATGCAATATTCTTTCAGCTGCTGAGCACTTATTTGTTGGCAGGTTTTAATGCCAGCGTTATAACATTCAGTTGTACTAGCTCTGATATGTACATTGGTGACAAAGTCTACTGGTTTTCTAGATGCACCTGTATATTTAGGCTGAAAAGACCTCTGACAACCTCACATTCTATACTTTAATGGAACTTGAATGAAAACTACCATATGTGACTTGGTTTTGACCTGAAGAAGAGAGGTTAACTCTCGAAAGCTTGTCTTTTATATATTTTGTTAGTCCAATAAGAAAGGTATCATCGCATACTACAATAATCCGTTTTTGTTTTTTTAATCTATATATAATAGCTGATCTTTGGGCACTTCACCGGCTTGCTTGATCAGGTCACTGGGGCCATGTAGTAAAGCCAATTGGGGCCATGTAGTAAAGCCAATTGGGGCCATGTAGTAAAAACAATTGTTTTCTAGGTATCCTGTTCACCATAA